AATTATTACTTGTGATAACAATATTATCGACATAAACCAAGACAAATATGGATGAACCAGGTTTATGTCAAACAAACAGAGAATAGTCAGCTTTGGATTGGGTAAACCTAACATCAATAAGTGTATTAGAAAATTTGGCAAACCAATTGCGAGAGGCTTGTTTGAGTCCGTATAAAGATTTGTTTAAACAACAAAAAAGTTTCTCCCCCTAATAGGATAACCGGGTGGAAGAGTCATATACACTTCTTCTTTCAAGTCTCCATGTAGAAAAGCATTGTGTATATCCAGTGATGTAATTGCCAATTTCTTGTGGCAGCAATAGAAAGAAGAACACGGAGTGTGACAAGTTTGGCAACCAGTGCAAAAGTCTCATGAAAATCAATTCCTTCAGTTTGGGTGTAACCCTTTGCCACAAGTCAGGCTTTATAATGCTCTATAGTCCCATCCAAGTGACGCTTTATTTTATAAATCCACTTGCAACCAATAGGATGTTTTCCCACAGGACAGGGAACCAAGGTCCAAGTATTGTTTGTCTCCAAGGCTTGAATTTCTGTTTCCATGGCAGCACGCCATTCGGATGATTGGATAGCTTGTCCAAATGTTTTAGGCTCATGCATAGAAGACAAAGATGATAAAAGGGCTCTGTGGGAATGATAAAATTTATCATAAAATAAATATTTAGTAAGAGGAAAAGGTGTCCCTGATGACCTTGCAGTTGGTGAAGAAGATTGGACTTGAGTATTAGAACAAATATAATCTTTGAGATGTGCTGGTTGTCGAGTATCCTGCTAGGAATGACGTAGAGGAGGTGATCCAGGTGAAGGATTGGGCAGATTTGAATGATTGCCTAGATTTAAGATAAGAGGTAACTCCGTTGTAGATGGTTGAGAAAGAGTGGGGGTTTGGTCACCAAAGTCTGGTATGGGCAAAGGAAGGACTGGCATTGTGGAAGTAGATGGAGATGAGTTTTGAAAAGGGAATGTTTTCTCGAAAAAGGTAGCATCATGACTAGTAAATATTTTTTTTGAATCAAGATCATAAACTTTGTAAGCCTTTTGAGCATGTGGGTAGCCAAGGAAAATGCCAGGACGAGCACGCTTGTCAAATTTGTGATGAATATTGGAGTTGTGAGCATAACATAAACAACAAAATACACATAAATGGTGTCTTTTGTGGAAAAGTGACTCATAAGGAGTTTTTCTATGTAAAACTTTGGTGGGTAATCGATTAATTAAATGTGCAGTGGCGAGTACATAATCACCCCAAAATTCTAATGGCAAGTTTGCTTGAAAACGAAGAGCACGAGTGATATTAAGAAAGTGTCTATGCTTTCGTTCAACCACCCCATTTTGTTGGGGTGTACCAACACAACTAATTTGGTGAATGACCCCACTAGCTTTCAAGAATTCTTGAAATTCAGCTTTAAAAAATTCTTTACCATTATAGCTACGCATTTGTTTGACAGAACAATTAAATTGTTTATGAACCATAGCAAAAAAATCAAGTAAATTGGTGTATAATTCAGATTTAAATTTCATCAAATATACCCAAGTACTTCGAGAGTAATCATCGACAATGGTTAAGAAATATGTTGCACCACAAATTGCAGGAATATGGTAAGGACCCCAAACATCACAATGTATAAGATCAAAACATGAACTTGTAGAAATCATGCTTAACGAAAATGGTAATCGGCAATGTTTTGCCAGAGGACAATGTTTTGCCAGAGGACAAACAGTACAAGGACATTTATTTGTAATGGAAATGCGAGAATCCAAATATGATAATTGCGATAAGATAGACGGAGAAGGGTGACCCAATCTCCAATGCCGAACATCAAAGGCATTATTATGAGTAACCATTGAAACAATAGATCCCATGGCAAATTGCAAATAGTAGAGACCACCAACTTGTTGACCCAGACCAATCTTCCTCCCCGTATGCAGGTCCTGAAAAACACAATGTGTGGGAAAAAAAGTTACACAACAATTGAGAGATTTGGTGAGTTTGCTAATGGATAACAAATTGAAATGAAAAGAAGGGACAAGAAGAACATCTTCTAACTTGGTATTTGGAGTTGGACAAGTAGAACCAACATGAGTGGCATAAGCACTTTGATCATTAGGTAATTTAATTGGGAAAGGAGAAGCCATAACATGGTATTCAGTTAATAAAGCTGGGCTAGAAGCCATGTGGTCCGTAGCACCCGCGTCAGTAATCCATGAATGATTGGATAACTGAGTGGCTAAGCCAGAGAAACTACCTGCAACGTTTGCTAGAGGAGTCATATTACCGGCAGGTATGAGAGAAAGTAGCTGGTCAAATTGTTCCTTTGTGAACATAGGTGGATCAGCAGATTTTTCGACAACGACAACAGAAGGACTAGAATTAACATTTGTTGTTGTTGGACGAGTGTCGTGAGAGTGTTGGTCATCACGAGGTTGATTGGATTTGGAAGCCTTCCGAGGTGGATAACCATGCTTCTTAAAGCAATGTGACTCACTGTGACCGGCGGTGTTACAGTAAGTGCAATGATAAAAGGGTTTTTTTTCCATATTGATGCGCCGATGCGGTTTTATTTGCAACCATGGCAGATTGTTCAAGACCCATTGTAGGAACATCATTAATGGAACGATGTCGTTCTTCCTGTAGGAGAAGGGAATAGGCACGGTTAACAGAGGGTAAGGGTTCCATTAATAATATTTGGCTGCGAATGGAACTATAGGAATCATTCAGCCCCATTAGAAATTCCATAAGTCTATCGGTTTGTTGAAGTTCTGGAATAGAATTGAGGGCACCACAAGTACAAGGAGGATATGAATTATTAGAGGATAATTCATCCCATAGCCCTTTAAGAATGGTAAAATAAATAGCAACAGAAGTTGTTTTCTGGGTATGAATAGAAATAGCGCAACGAATCTCGAAAATACAAGGAGCATTCTTTTGAGAAAATCAATCACAAAGATCAATCCAAACTTCGGAGGCTGTAGAACTATATATGACGTTGTTACCAATATCACGAGAAAGAGAGTTTACAATCCATGATAATACCATGCTATTGCAACGAATCCACTCTTGACGGTTCAATGATGCTTCATCAGGTTTTGGAATAGATTTATCAATGAAGCCAAGTTTATTCTTGGCTTCAAGAGCCATGCGCATAGCCCTATTCCAAGTTAGGTAGTTGTCTCCTTGTAGAGGCTGAGACACAAGGACAGCACCAGGATTATCGGAGTGATGAAGGTAGAATGGAGAGGACACTTCATACTTTATTGTCGTGCTTGAGTTTGAAGAAACAATAGGAGAAGTTGAGGAGGTATTGGCAGCCATGGCAAAAGCTTTGATAGATACTGGAGCTAACAGAGGAAAAGAAATTTTGTTGGTATGAATTACAAAGGCTCTGATACCTTATTAAGAAACTGAATTGGAAAGGAAGAAATTGAATTGATTGTATTATAGTACATGTGTTGTATATATACATGATTGTCCCATAATGAGTGGGATTGAGAGGAGGAATTAACGAGATATAAATCCCATGATGTGTGGGATGTAATGCAACAAGATATATGCAATAAATCAAGACAAATTTAATGCAACAAGATTTAAGTAGAAAATCATGTGAGAATCAATCCAGTATAATGTTAATACACTACCATTAACATTGTGTAACTAGAGAAATCTAAATTCCTTCTAAAGAAAAATGACATAGCGGAAGTAGTGGGACCAGTGAGGGGTCTCCTAGAGAGGAGAAGGATGTTACTCCCATAGTAAATTCAACCAATACTCTGTTGGTTTGAGGTAACAGTTAGAGATGGTCAAGAAATGTCTTATCCCAAGTGTAAAGCTTACTACAGACTCTTGCAGAGTAGGAAGAGCACATAAGTTAGGGAGAGGCCTAGATGGTATATGGCTCTACACCCCGAGCATTCGTAGTACCACCGGCTACCTCCAATGATCAAAACTCAAAAGAACAGTTGTTGGCCGAAAAACAACCTAAGAGGGGGGTGAATTAGATTATTTGAGTGAGTGACTAGACATTCTTTGATTTTTACCAATGATGCAGCATAAGAAATAATTATATGATGTAGAAGATAATGTGTATGATGAGTAATGTAATATGAATGATGTAAATAGGTAGGGAAGAAGAAGAACAAAAAAGATTTATAGAGGTTCGACCCAACAATGATGGCCTACGTCCTTTCTTTCGCAGCCTCCTCGGAGCTTCTCTTTCACTATTTCAATCTTCTTCAACAGGTAAAGACCAATCCTTTACATGCATTGTCTTCTTCGATAGGTGAAGTCACCTTTTACAATCTCAAGCTCAAATACTATAAATTTTCTCTTTTCTCTACAAGATGTTTACGCTTTAAGATTACAACAAGAAAGAATAATACAAGAGTTAATACAATCTCTATTCAAGATAATTGTCATTTCAAGCACTCTTCATTGTGTTTGTCACTCAATCATAACCCCAAAAAGTCTCAAAAATTCATGCTTCTTCAAGCCTGAAAATGCCCTTTTATAGTGGAAGCAATTGAACAAAAATATTAGCCATTGGAAGCTCAATGGTCATGTTAGGATGTCCAAGGCCAAGGTTCGGCTGTCTGGTAAAACAATTTCTCCAAAATAGTGCAAAACATGATTTTGCCTTCCGGTCGTCTGGATCCCCTCATCCGGTCATCTGGATTCCTTCATGGGTAGGTCAATGCACAGCTCTGCCCATAACTTCCAAGCCGAATTGGAACCTCAAATGTTTAAATTTTTAGCCATTGAAGTGTAATTTTCAAATCCTTTTTAATCAGGTCAAGCGAATGTTTGAGTAAAACTTTATGTTCAAATTATCAAGCATATGTCTAATTCCCCTAATTTGTACACTACCTTCAACTTCCATGCTAGTTTTCACCTTGAAAATAATCTAAAAATTTGCTATTTGAATTAAACATGTAGACCTTCACTTCTACTTTTTAATCCCAAAAGGATAAATTCAATTGAACATCTGAGTTGAAAGTTATGCACATAATATCAAGACTATTTCAAGTTGACCGATTTATGCATTCTTCCTCCTTGGTTTGTTTCTTCCACACTTTTACCTTAATCCTTCCACTATTCAAATAAATAAATATAGTTATGCTTCTTTAAATTGGACAATGACCATATGAGTGAGATCATTAAACTCTCACATTCTTTATAATGATAAAATCAATGAGGTGGTTGTATAATAAGCTTTTCATGTTCATTCCCTTCAATTCTTCCCATCTTCAATCAAATGATTTAGAAATGTTCATTGTCTTCATTTATTTTCATCTTTGATCATCTAATTTATCATTTAAATATTGCACATCTGCTCCTTCAAATCTTTGTATTCGATGTATCGTATTTCACATTCAATCTCTTGTGTCGACCCTATTCAACACCTTACAACCTAACTCACATTAACATGATTAGTAATAAAAGAGTGTTTCTTATCATCAAAACCTTGCTTACCCAAGTATAAGGTCAACATTCTTCTACTTTTTGATGATGACAAACAAAGTAAACTAATGATACATATAATTCTTCTTCTCACTTAACATATACACAAATACATTGTCAAATGTATATATCAATGCAATATTTCTCCCTCTTTTGACATTATAAAAAATAGATAAATAACATTAAACCAATAGACTTAGGTTCCCCTTAAGTATGTGCATATCTATCAATATTTCCATTGTGTCTCATTTCTCCCCTTTTGACATCATCCAAAATAGATCTATTAGAAAAAAAAAACCTAGACCTATTAGACGTAATTGTTTCACTAAATAAACTTATTCTTCCCCTACACTAATCTCAAAGTTTTCAATATCATAACATATTAAGATAATAAATTTATGATTTGCTTAATCATATGCATATCCTCCATTTTCATCTTAAAATCAAGGTCTCATTTCTCCTCCTTTGTGCTATTATCAAAACCAGCAAATGCAACATGAGACATCAATTTTACACTTCTCTCCATTTCTACTTCAATCTATGTTTCCCCATTTTTTTATATTGTTTGCCTAACTTTGATGAAGCTCTCGCTTCACTTCCCTTCCTGCCTAGGTCCCATGAGATATAAGCATTTCAATTTGCTTCACGCCTTAAATAACATTCCCCCCCCCCCCCCCCCCCCCCCAAAACCAATCAAAAACAAAAACAAAAAAAAACCCAATATTGTATGTTCTTCCCCATGAAATGGCCCAATAATATGGAATTCTCTTGCTATTAAATGATGAATATGAATTTCCAGTCATACACGGATATACATTGAACTACGGACTTTCATGGCTAATGTATAGGCCCCAATTAGCCATTCAAAGCAAAACATGCCTTGGCTTGGCCTTCAGTTTGAGGCTTTGGCAATTGATAAGTATCTCATGAGAGGTGCTACATATGATTTGGGGAAATGTTCTCTTGAGATTAAATCCAATGATTAAAATATCGTTTCGAAATGGTCAAAATATCTGAAACGATTCCGTTTTCAAGAAGACTGAAACGAATCAGTAATAGAATTGAAATTCTAATACGTCGAGGTGTTCCATAATATTTTGAAATATTTTGTTATATTTCAATGCATTTGCACAATTATTTCAAAATATTTTGATATATTTCGATTAGTATTTTGAAAAATTAATTCTTAAAGTTTTTACTTTTTTTCATTCTGTTTTCGAAACGGGTCGAAAAGTTTCCGTTTTTTAGGTGCTGAAAAAATGCACCGAAACGAAATTTTGATCCTTGATTAAATCAAGGTTACTTGAAGAATACGTGTAAACTTAAGAAATTTTGGGAGCAATCTAGTATGCATAAATATTTAATGTGGATAGTACTACCAATCAAATTAACGCATGGCTCTATGAAGGAATAATAGATAAAACGTTAAAAAGGATGATAGTGGTTGGTTCTTTTGAAATCCTTATGAAAACATAAATACTGGGACACATGACCGATGCATCTTATGAGTTGATGCATGAAAATGTGCACTCTAAAGGAGGATTTGTTTGGTAGGAGTGAATTTGAAATCATTTCATCTTGATTTTCCTTCAGTTTTCACTGTGTCCTTTTTCTTTTATTTTATCTCATGTAGTACCCTTTAATTTTCTTAGTTAATCAGCAATTGTCATCCGCGAGAGAATGCATAATGTGCTTAAATGCTCTTCTTACTTAGACAAAGTACTTTTTCACATGATCTCAGAGCCTGTACGATTCCAAGAAATGTGCAGAAAGTATACTATTGGTGTTTTTAGTTAACAATCCTTAAATATGTTGTGTTAGTTTCTCGCATTGAAATGTGCAGAAGTATACTATTGGTGTTTTTAGCTAACAACCCTTAAATATGTTTTGTTAGTTTCTCACATTGAAGCAAGGAGTGAGCAGTATGATATGTACATGCAGTTAGATGTGAATATAGAGATATATCGTATGCATGTTGGGGAGAAGTTCATGATGGTATTAGCTTCCATTC